AATAAAACTTTCTTTACAAAAAAATAGGTAGCTAACCTATGGGCTACTCTCTGCTGCTTTGATTTTGATTTGGTAATTTTATTTTATTTTACTTTATTTTATTTTATTTTATTTTATTTATTTTTGAGGCAGTCTCACTCTTTTATCCAAACTAGAGTGCCATGGCATCAGCCTTGCTCACAGCAACCTCAAACTCCTGGGTTCAAGTGATCCTCCTGCCTCAGCTTCCTGAATAGCTGGACTATGGAAACCTGCCAGAATGCCTGGCTAATTTTTCTTTTTTCTATTTTTAGTAAAGACAAATTCTCACTCTTGCTCAGGCTGGTCTCAAACTCCTAAGCTCAAGGGATCTGCCTGCCTTGGCCTCCCAGAGTGCTAGAATTATTGGCATGAGCCAGCACCACCAGCCATTTTGGTATTTTTAAAATATTCCATTATGGGGAGGTGCCTGTGGCTCAGTGGGTAAGGGCTCTGGCCCCATATACCAAGGGTGGCAGGTTCAAACCCTGCCCTGGCCAAACTGCAAAAAAAAGGTAGCTGGGTGTTGTGGTGGGTGCCTATAGTCCCAGCTTCTAGGGAGGCTGAGGCAAGAGAATTGCCTAAGCCCAGGAAATGGAGGTTGCTGTGAGCTGTGATGCCATGGCAGTCTACCGAGGGCAATAAAGTGAGACTGTGTCTCAGCATAAAATATTCCATTATGTGGTTTGAACCTATAATCCCAGCTACTTAGGAAGCTGATAGAGGAGGCTGAGATGAGAGGATCGCTTAAGGACAGAAGTTGGAGACCAGCTTGGACTACGTGGTAAGACCTTGTCTCTTTAAAGAAAAATTGCATTAAAATATTGTTTTAATTATCGAGTTTTTTGACACCCTCTTAAATTTTATACCCAAGGCAAGTGTGTCACTTGCCTTAGCCTAATATCAGTCCTGCATATTTTGGGAATATGAGATTGATTGATTGATTGATTGATTGAGACAAGGTCTTATTCTGTAGCCCAGGCTGGAGTGCAGTGATCTGATCATAGCTCACTGCAGCCTCAAACTTCTTGATTCAAGCAGTCCTCCTGCCTTGGCATCCCAAGATTTAGTGATTTTATTAGAAAATAAATCAAGAATGACAACTTGGTTTGGCGCCTGTGGCTCAAGTGGCTAAGGCGCCAGCCACATACACCTAAGGTGGGGGGTTCGAATCTAGCCTGGGCCCACCAAACAACAATAATGGC